GCAGCAGGCTAGTAGCAGTAGCAGCAGGCGCGGCTCGGCGGTGCTCTTACCAGGGCGGGTGGGTAGGGGCCCGCAAGTGGTGGGGCAGGGCCGAGGCGCGTCGGCAGGGACAGGGCCGCGACGGCGGCGGCGGCTCCTGCTGTCGGCGGCGGCGGCGGTTGCGGCCCCGGCAGCGGCGGTGGCGGCGGTCACGGCAGCGGCGGTGGCGGCGGTCACGGCAGCGGCGGCTGCGGCGGCTGCGGCCCCGGCAGTGGCGGCGGCGGCTGTCACGGCAGCGGCGGCGGCGGCGGCTGCTGCTGTCGGCGGCGGCGGCTGCTGCTGTCGGTGGCGGCCGCTGCTGTCGGCGGCGGCTGCTGCTGTCGGCTGCTGCTGTCGGCGGCGGCGGCTGCTGCTGGCGGCGGCTGCTGCTGTTCGCGGAGGAGCCGAGAAGGGGCCGGTAAGGGCGGCGAAGGGGCCACGAAGGGCTGTGAAGGGGCCGCGAAGGGCGGCGACGGGGCCGAGACGGGACCGTGAGGGGCCGCGAAGGGCGGCGACGGGGCCGAGACGGGGCCGTGAGGGGCCGCGAAGGGCGGCGACGGGGCCGAGAAGGGGCCGTGAGGGGCCGGAAAGGGCGGCGACGGGGCCGAGAAGGGGCCGCGAGGGGCCTCGAAGGGCGGCGACGGGGCCGAGAAGGGCGGCGACGGGGCCGCGAAGGGCGGCGACGGGGCCGCGAAGGGGCCGCGAGGGGCCACGAAGGGGCCGCAAGGGGCCTGAAGGGGCCGCGAAGGGCCGTGAGAGGGGCCGTGAGGGGCCGTGAGAGGGGCCGCTACGGGGCCGTAAGAGAGCGCGACGGGCCGCTAAGGGCAGGGGACGCGACGGGAGGGCAGGCACACGGGGCGCGACCGGGCAGGGGCGAAGCGCGCTCCGGGCAGGAAAAACAAAACCAATTTTCGGTGGGCCCTAGGAAACGTTCCCACTAGGGAACCTGCTCTATACCATGTGAAAGAACGAGGAATGAATGCACTAGCAAACAGGTGGGTACAAGTAGGAAAACCTAAAAGTGTTGTACCCCATATTGTCTACCCCACTACAGCCTACACAGACTATAGCATATAAGTTTGACAGGCACCGCTGGAGGTGATTCAGGCAGCGTCGAAACAACAGAAGAAGGGGGTGCCACCGGTGGTGGCTGGGGAACTTCAACCACCAAAGGAAGGAGCAACTGGGGACCGCCAAACCCCCCTTATCCCGAAGCTCCAGCACTTCCTCCTGCGGACGTCGCGACAGTCGATCCCTACTGGGCAACAGGCAGCACCAGCTTGGGCGGACCTCCTCTTCCAGACCAGTATGCTCCTGACACACCAAAGAGCGTATAAGAGGAGTCAGAAGAAATGACTTACATTCTTCGGGAAAGCAGCGGAACTACCCGAACCTACCAAGGAAGCGCCGCTGCTAGAATAAGGGCCCCGGCTAATCGAGGTCACCAGCAACGAGTGCATTTACTATCGCGTCCCGATGGAAGGACTCCCCGCCTCCGAATGGCCGGAGGCAGCATCCTTCCCGCAACTGCTCGTCACAGGCGATCATGTTCACGCCGGAAACACGGACGACATCATTGGAATTCCCGACGTCGCCCTGAAACAAAACTCCGTTCGAGCTTTATAGCAGACACCAACACCACCGCTGACAAGGGACTTGAAAAGGAGCAGCACGACGAAGCAGAAATAAATATATACTATCAGAATACTATCGATCATCGCGCGCAACCAAAAATTTGGCATCAGCGACTCGGACATCCCTCTCACGTCACGTTCAAGAATTCCCTCAAGGCACGAGTCTTTGACGAAAGCACGCTTCTTCTTCCTCGAAGAGGTTCCCTCACAGGAGAATCAGCCGACCCACCATGCATCGTTTGCCCCACCGCGTCACTCGCCAATAAACCCTTCCCTGACTTACCTCCTGGCTACAAACGATACGAACCTCTCGAAAAAATCTACAGCGACTTCATGGTTGTTACTCAGGAAGGGCTCGACGGCGAGCAGTACACGCTAACCTTCATCGACGCATGCATTCGCCACGTCTTGGCCATTAACACCGACTATCGTTCTCTCGCCTTCGAATGCTTCATTGCGTTGATGAAGCGAGCAGAGCGACAATCAGGCTTGAAGCTAAATAGATTTCAGACAGACGGTCGAGTTCTTCTCAACCGAGTTCAAGGAACTCTTCACCAAGAAAGGGATTGAGCACCTGGTGTCCTTACCCTACGATCACGAACAGCAGGGGGTAGCGGAACGGACAAACAAGAGCCTCACCACGAGGATGAGGGCCCTGATGAAGCAGTCGGTTATCCCAACCAAATATTGGCCATTGGCAGTTAATCACGCTGTCTGACTGCACAACTTGCTGCCTTCCCAAAGCCTCGAAAACAACAACTGGCCTTACAAAGCTTGGACGGGAATAAAAGCTGACATGTCTTCTTCGGGTGTTCGGCTGCATGGTACAGTACAGGCCACACGCAGGAAGGACAGGAAAATTTGCTGACCGAGCACGCTGGGGCATTCATCTCGAGATTGAAAAATAAAACAATGCGTGGATCGTGCTCGACTACGTGACACACGAAGTGACAAAATCACGTGACTGCATCTTCTACGACTCTGCCACTGTTCAAAGAACATCGCAAAGCTGACAAAGCACTGGAAAGGGTTTTCGAGGGACACTGCAGTTTCGCCACGTCACAGGATGAATCAGACCTAGCAGAGGATGCAGACGCAGCGGACAGCGTACCATCCGACCCATATCTAAACACCCCCCTTACAAGCCCACTTCAAACTCCAACCTTCATACCTGTTTATCAATTCGATTCTGCTGATACAACTCGTGGATCCCACAATTACAACAGTACAGCACACCGATCTCCGGATGCCAAGTTACCTTCAGGCAACTCTTCGCGGGACACCATCCGGCCCGGTCATGACAGCGACGACGACGTCGTCGAAGTTACCAGCTTCCACGATTACGATCACTTCCACTACGAAAAGGCCAACGAAACCGGCCTCGGTATCCTTAAACCCGTAGTCGCTGTTCGTCACACCTCCCCCAAGGAACCCACCACCGTTCGCCAGGCTCTGTCTGGCCCCGACAGTGAGAAATGGAAGGCAGCCATGGCAGCAGAAGTTGCGGCGTTGAAGAGCCGCGGAACGTGTAAGCTGGTTCCACGATCATCAGTAAAGGGGAGAAAATTTCACAGCGGCAAATGGGTCTTCTGCATCAAAACGCTTGCGGATGGCTCCATTGACAAGTACAAAGCGAGATGGATGATGCGCTTCGAGGAAACCCATATGGTGGATTACGATCTCACATTCGCGCACGTCGGAAGACACACCTCTGTATGCATCCTCATATGCATCGCAGCCATCAAGCAGCGCTCGCTCCGTCAGATCGATGCCGGCAGAGCATTCCTATACGCGCCTATCGATGCCATCATCTTCGTCGAGCAGCTGCACGCCTTCGAAGAGAGCGACGACGCCGTCTGCCTTCTCCAGAAATTTCTCTATGGGATCAAGCAAGCACCTCGCCTGTGGCAGCAGCACCTGCACACCGTTCTTACGGAGCTCGGATTCACTCAGCTGCCGCATGACTTTGGGATGTACCGGAAGGAATCGCGCGGCAAATTCATTCACATCGTCGCCTATTTCATCGCACCGAACCACTCCCGACCAAACCATCCTTCGCCCGACCTCCTCGCCTAGCGAGGATTCTCCTTATAATTTCCCTTCATTTTCCTTGTGTCGTCATTCAGTATTCAACCATTCTCGTTATCCGTTATTCTGCGCACTCTGCAGGTTCATTCATAACATGATATATTTAATGGAATTTCAAGGGGGACAACTTCATCTGCAATCTAATTAAGCCAGCGCGGTTCGCAAATGCGATCCCTAACAGTCCGCCTGGAAGAAGCTGATGAGTCGTAATCTGCCCGCGGTCAGAAAAAAATAAACCCCTAATGGGTGGCATGAGATTAGGGGAGCCCCAACCCTAAACACGGGGAGCCCCAACCCTAAACACGGGCAGCCGCGTCGTTCTGCCCGAAAAGATTGCATTTGCAAACCCGCACTGGGAAAATGAGATCGCAGTTCGAATTGTCCGATTTCAAGGAGTTCTACTCCCTTACATTGCTACACGTGTCGTAACATCAAAGGATCTGTCCACCCTGGAAGTACGTGGGGTATTCTTCGCAGGAACAATCCAGTTTGGTCGCTCGGGAGGGCGAGCAGGCCACGTCATACACTCGGAGGTTCGCGAAGCCTCCGCCGTTTCGCTCGGCGGTTGGGCGACAGACGACGGGAACAAGCCCTGTCTCACCCTTCGTTTACCTCGGCAGCACTCACAATCGTCATTCTGCCTTCTCATCGTGTTCCTCCAACTCCGTCATCACCGTTTCAGTGCTAGCTGCTCGCTCGTCACCGCACAGCCCGGACGCATGGCGTCCATGTCGCTCGCTTGCACCCACCAATCCGCGTTCGCGGTGAGCCCTCTCGTCCACGCCGCTCCCGCGACCCGCTACAAGCATGCCTTTCCCCCGCCTGCCCTTGTGCTCGCATCTGTCGCCACGCTGCTGCCACCGCTCGCTCTTCGCATTCCCACCCCTTCCCCCTTCCCCGTCCCCCACTGCCCCTTCATTCCCACCTCTTTCACTTGCACACCCCCGCCACTCTCTTTAAGTTTCCTTAAACCCTTCATCGCTGTGCATTTGTTTCTGTATTTGCCCAGCACAGGCTAGTAGGTTCAGAGATCATTGATGCTAACTTCGTTTCTTCCCATCGCGCCTTCTCAACATCCCTCCCTCCCACCGCGCGCGTCGTTCGTCGCTCGTCGCGTCGCAGCCCGCCGCGCTCTCCACTCTCACCGGCGCGCGCACCTGCCGTGTCACCACTCCCAGCCTCGCCTCTCCATTGGTCGCTCGTTCCAGAAAATGCGCGTCGCGATCGTCGTCGTCAGCGGTGGTGGGCGTGCGCGCAGCGATGAGCGCGGCGGAGATCGCGCAGGCGCTGAGCGACAAGCGGGTGAGGCCGGGAGGCAGTGAGAGGTGGGTGGAGTGAAGGGTGGTGGCAGGGAGGGTTGGGGTAGGTGAGTCAAGGGGCGGGTGCGGGTGCGGGTGCGGGTTGGCGTGGTTGGCGAGGCAGAGAGCCGCGGGTCGCGGCAGTGCGCAGCCACCAAGGTGGTGCCGTCAGCGGCACCACGCAGCTGTGCGCTGTGACGTCAGCTGCCGGCGTGCGACGCCGCGTCAGCTCCGCGGCGGGAGCTCGCCCTTGCGACTTGAACATGTTCTGGTAACAAGGTAACAGAGACGCGAAAAGCGTCGAACTTCTTGGTGTTGTGTCACGGCATGCCGCGATCGAGGCGCAGCTCTTCCTCACATTGCACAGCGCGACCAGCCTCACTCTCTGCTCCCTGCGTGCCCCCCTCTGATCCCGCTTCCTCCTTTCTCCGTTTCTTATTTCCCCTTTGCTTTTTTTTATTCTCCCTTTCGCTCCCTCTTATTTCCCCTTGTCTCCTTTGTTTATTCTCTCCGTGCTGCCCTCGTCGCCGTGCTGCCCTCGTCTCCGTGCTGCCCTCGTCTCCGTGCTGCCCTCGTCTCCGTGCTGCCCTCGTCTCCGTGCTGCCCTCGTCTCCGTGCATGCAGGTTCAGCCACGGGGCGAGCGAGTGCTGGTCAAGCTCGATGAGCCCGAGCAGGTGAGTGCTGCTCCCTTTGCCCCGTGCCCTCATGCCCCCGTGCTCCCATGCTCCCGTGCTCCCATGCTCCCATGCCCCTGTGGCCCCATGCCCCCGTGGCCCCATGCCCCCATGGGACCCACCTGACGCGTGCCCACCTGCCATCTGCCCACCTTCTTTGCGCTTTCACCTCCCTGTTCCCCCGCCTCGCTCTCCTCGTTTGCTCTGTCCGTCCACCTTCGCTCTCTACTCCCACCGCCCTGGCGCTGAGGCACCGCCCTGGCGCTGAGGCACCGCCCTGGCGCTGAGGCACCGCCCTGAGACTTGGTGTTCCTTCCATTCACGCGCACTGCCATGCCCTCTGTGCCCCCCTGTGCCCCGCTGTGCCCCGCTGTGCCTCCTCTGTTTCCCCATCTGCGCCCCCCTCTGCTTGCCTATGAGTGCAGAAGTCAGCGGGGGGCGTGCTGCTGCCCACGCAGGCCGTCAAGTACGAGCGATACCTCACCGGGCAGGTAAGGCGATACCTCACCGGGCAGGTAAGGCGATACCTCACCGGGCAGGTACTGATGTTTTCTTCCCTTCCTCTGCTGCCCTCCTCTGCTGCCCTCCTCTGCTGCCCTCCTCTGCTGCCCTCCTCTGCTGCCCTCCTCTACTGCTCTAACTGTGTATCTCAATTATTTCCGCCCAACTCTGTGTGTTTCTGTGTGTGTGGATGTGGGTGTGTGTGCGTGGTGGGTGGGTGGGGGGGAGCGGGGCTGGCACACGATGCACGGCAGGTGGTATCAGCGGGAGAGGAGGTGAAGAAGGCATCAGCGGGGCAGAAGGTGAGTCACTCGATGCTGTCATCGCGCTCCCTCTCACACTCCACCCTCTCTCCTTGGTCACTCACGTCCGTAGCCAATGAACAACAAACATAACCAAAATGAATCGAGGAGCTTTTCTGCTTTCGTCCATATTGCTTAACATTGGTTGACTGGATCGAAAGGATTTTTCTGAAATGAAAGGTTAACACATACCTCCTACTTTGCTTACTCACCTTGCGACTCACCTGTTGCACTGACCTGGCCTTGACACCTGGTGATCTGCCACGCTGGTGGAACATGTGTGTGAGCCTGGAGTGCAAGGGGAGGCCCTGGCAGGGGCGCCACTGTGGAGCAGTGCCACACGTTTGCCATTTACAGTATGCTCATGCCATGCCATGCCATGCCATGCCATGCCATGCCATGCCAAGCCATGCCATGCCATGCCATGCCATGCCATGCCATGCCATGCCATGCCATGCCAAGCCATGCCATGCCATGCCATGCCATGCCGTGCCATGCCATGCCATGCTGTGCAGTGCTATGGTTGTGTGTGCGGTGATCCTTGCTGTCTAAGCATCCATCAGTACCCTCCTAGGCTGCTCTTTACAGATCATCATGCCTCGTGCCATTACTATCCACTCAGTGCCATTACTATCCACTCAGAGCCATTACTGTGCCGGCCGGAAACCCAGCAGCGTGGTGTGCAACACCCTGGCTAGACTGTTGCCAATTGGTACCTCAGCTTCTAACGCGGGGTATACTGAATAACCATCCACCTGTGTGCTGTGCTGTGTGTGTGCCGTGGTGTTGTGCCGTGGGGGTGAGTGCAGATCATGTTTCCGGACATGAACGCCTACGAGGTGAGCCTCTCTCGTGCCCATCACTGCCAGCTCTAGCGCACACTTGTGTTGCTTTCCTCTACTCTTCACCCCCCGACACTTTTTTTTATGCACACGCTACTTCCATGGAGTTTGCACCGTTGGCATGCTTTCTGAGTGTTGTGGTCTTGATGGCCAATCTCCATGCAGGTGGCAATTGGGGATGGTTCCGACAGGTTCTGCTTTGTGAGGGAGGGAGACATCATGGCTGTGGTTCAATAGATGCTCGTTTAGAACATTTTTGTTTGTTTCGTAGTATTCTCAATGTTTTTTTGACGGTTGTAGTATTAGCAAAAGTTCTAACGAAGCATTTTATAGTGCTCGTGACTCTGTCACAACCAATATCAAAATGATAACGATCGAGATCGCAGCACATATTCGCGAATTCTTTCCCTGCACGAACACCGCCACCATCACACAGCAGGCAAGTTACACTGCGCGCACGATATCAACGGCGCGCAAGTCACACTGCGCGCACCGCGTCACGTTATCAACGGCGGCTATCGTTCCGCTCAACGAGTGCCCCGCGCTTGCCCCGCGAAGCGCCATGGCGCGTGGCGTCGCGCTGTGGCTGCTGCTGCTCGCCATGGCCGCGCGCGCAGGTGAGCCGCCGAGTGGCGTTGCGCGTCGAGCGCGGTGAGGCACCTCGCGGGCAGATCGGAGGGTGCGCGCATCGCCTCTGTCGCCGCTGTCGCCACTGCAGCGCGCCGCACTGTGCCTGCTGCGATCGCCCCTCCCCTCACTGTCCCTCCCCTCACAGCCCCTCCCCTCACTGTCCCTTCCCTCACCGCCCCTCGTCCCTCTCAGCCCTGCCACCTCTCGCACGCTCCCCGCACACTCACGTGGCCACTCTTCCTCGCACTGCTTATGCCTCACTGCCTTTCCTTCTCTTCTCATCTGCCGCACTGAAAGCTCAGGGCCATGCGAGTGCGGCCGCCCAAGCATGTACTTATCAAGCCCCTCCAACTCTTCACTCCCCACCGCCTCGCCCCACCAGCGGCCACAGCGGTGCGCTTCCACGTGGAGCAGCACGCCAAGTGCGTCGGCCACGACCTGCGGCGAGACACCCTCGTGGCCGCCTCCTACGCCGCAGTGCCCGCCAGCCACGCGCACCCCTTCTCCCTCGACATCTCCGTCCGTGCTTCCTCCCTCTGCCCGGCGCCTCGTCACATCCGTGCACTCTCACGCGCCCACATCCATGGGACCCACCCTTGCTTGCTGCAGCCATGTCGATTCAGCCAAACTCCACTCGTCTCATTCTTCTCCACTCGTCTCATTCTTCTCCACTCGTCTCATTCTTCTCCACTCGTCTCATTCTTCTCCACTCGTCTCATTCTTCTCCACTCGTCTCATTCTTCTCCACTCGTCTCATTCTTCTCCACTCGTCTCATTCTTCTCCACTCGTCTCATTCTTCTCCACTCGTCTCATTCTTCTCCACTCGTCTCATTCTTCTCCACTCGTCTCATTCTTCTCCACTCGTCTCATTCTTCTCCACGCCTCCCCACTGGTGTGTTGTGATGGCGCAGGTGACCTCCCCGGGCGGCGTGCACGTGTATCTGAAGGAGGGGGTGGGCGAGGGGCACGTGGGGTTCACGGCGGAGGAGAGCGGCGAGTACCACCTCTGCTTCTGGCTGCACGCCACCCACGTGGGGCGCCCTGACGACGCGCGGCACCAGGTGGAGGTGGCGTGGCGTGAGGGGCAGGCGGCGTCGCACATGCAGCAGGCCGCCACCAAAGAGAGGGTGGAGGTGAGAGGAGCGCGTGGAGGTGAGAGGAGGATGGAGGTGAGAGGAGGATGGAGGTGAGAGGAGGGTGGAGGTGAGAGGATGGTGGAGGTGAGAGGGGTTGTCTCTGCCGCTTGCTGTGCCTGCACTCACCACGCCTGCACCTCACCACGCCTGCACCTCACCACGCCTGCACCTCACCACGCCTGCACCTCACCATGCGTGCACCTCACCATGCGTGCACCTCACCATGCGTGCACCTCACCATGCGTGCACCTCACCATGCGTGCACCTCACCATGCGTGCACCTCACCATGCGTGCACCTCACCATGCGTGCACCTCACCATGCGTGCACCTCACCATGCGTGCACCTCACCATGCGTGCACCTCACCATGCGTGCACCTCACCATGCGTGCACCTCACTATGCGTGCAAGGGTATTGAAAGATCACAGCAATAGTGCCCGTGGTGGGGCAACGCTGTGCTGTGGGGTTGCAAGGCATGGAGGGAAGGCACAGCTGCTCACCATCTGCCCTCCCCTGCTGCCCATTCCTCGCTTGCCTGTCGGTGGTGCTGGCTGTGGTGCTGGCTGCGGTGGGTGCTGTGGTGGGTGCTGTGGTGGGTGCTGTGGTGGGTGCTGTGGTGGGTGCTGTGGTGGGTGCTGTGGTGGGTGCTGTGGTGGGTGCTGTGGTGGGTGCTGTGGTGGGTGCTGTGGTGGGTGCTGTGGTGGGTGCTGTGGTGGGTGCTGTGGTGGGTGCTGTGGTGGGTGCTGTGGTGGGTGCTGTGGTGGGTGCTGGGGTGGGTGCTGTGGTGGGTGCTGTGGTGGGTGCTGTGGTGGGTGCTGTGGTGGGTGCTGTGGTGGGTGCTGTGGTGGGTGCTGTGGTGGGTGCTGTGGTGGGTGCTGTGGGTGCTGCTGTGGTGGGTGCTGTGGTGGTGCTGTGGGTGCTGTGGTGGGTGCTGTGGTGGGTGCTGTGCTGTGGTGGGTGCTGTGGTGGGTGCTGTGGTGGGTGCTGTGGTGGGTGCTGTGGTGGGTGCTGTGGTGGGTGCTGTGGTGGGTGCTGTGGTGGGTGCTGTGTTGGGTGCTGTGGTGGGTGCTGTGGTGGGTGCTGGGGTGGGTGTGGCATGCAGAGCTTCGAGTGGGAGGTGAAGCGGCTGGAGGGGCTGGTGGAGGCGGCGTCGAACGAAATGATCTTCTTCCAAGAGAGGTGCGCCACACATGCTTGCTGCATTAAGTGCCTGCTATGCTGCACATGCTGGGTGCTGCACATGCTGGTCGCGCTGCACATGCTGGGTGCTGCACATGCTGGTCGCGCTGCACATGCTGGGTGATGCACATGCTGGTCGCGCTGCACATGCTGGTCGCGCTGCACCGAGCATGAGGGGATGGCAGGGAGGGCGCATGAGGGGATGGCGCCGTGTGCAGGCGCCTCTCCGTGGTGCTGGAGGAGCCGCACCTGGACATTTGTGCTCCCTTGTTGCGCCACCGTTTGATTCATGCTGTGCGCTACACGTGGTGTCCCATGGGTGGGTGCAGGGAGGAGGAGCTACGAGGCATGTCCCACGCCACGCAGGCACGAGTCGGGTGGCTCAGCGCCTTCTCCCTCCTCACGTGCGCTCTTCTGGCCGCTCTGCAGTTCTGGCATCTCAAGACCTTCTTTGAGCGGACAAAGGTCCTCTGATGCATGAGCACGCCACTACCTGAATTCACATGTACGATAACCATGCATGCGATTGTGTGTAGCAAGTACCGTTCCTACCATCGTCGCCCAGGTAGAAGACATATGTGTCATATTACATATCGTACTACCGGTAAAAATTGGCAGTTTATCTAGTACACGAGAACAAATGAGTGTCTTGCAAATCCTACAAGTGAGAACCTTTATAATGTCATCATCTTAGAGTCTAATCTACTTAATCTTAGAGTTAGAAACAACTTGTGGATCAGGTCAATGGGGGGGTTACCGTATGGCCCCGGATATAGGTGCCGTCCGATTAAGGGCGCTGGCGCTTCAATCTGAAGCATGACGCTTATGGTCGGAACCACGGCTCTAGATTGGTATTGGGCCACCCTTTCTAATCAGGGTTCTAGGTAGTCCCAACCCTGATGCATAGGGTATAATTTGTCGTTCCCTGACAAATTCAGGTAAAAAACATTTTCTGTTTGCGCAGGGCAACTTTTCTGGTAAATGTTGATTCTCCTAATGTAAAGGAAAAAGGAAAGTAGCCCAGTGCAACACTTAGTGGCTCAGTTGGTGCGATTACGCGATTGCCAGTGCTCTTGTCTGTGTCTCCCGGGCGCAATGTAGCGTGCGAGAATGCTGAGAGGGTAAGCAAGGTCAGGTCGAGTGTAGGTCATCAGGTACATGAGGCAGCCCACAAGCTCTGGATACGGGCCACTCGGCTCTACGGACTCGTCCGAAGGTGGAGCTGAGAGCTAGTGACCGGTAGGCAGAGGAGTGGACTGTGGCGAGGACCAAGTGAAGCCGAAGCGCTGAAGGACCTTCTGCACCATGTGTGACTGAGTCAAGGTGATGGTGCGGCGTGCTCTGTCCCAGGTGATCTGCAAGCCAAGATAGCAGCGCAGCTCGCCTAGGTCTGTGCACATGTGTCTCTTCTGCAGCTCCGACTTCACTAGAATCAGTGCCTCAGTGTCAGCTGTAGCAAAAATCAAGTCGTCGACGTACACGGGGATGTAGAACGGCGGCAGCGAAGTGTCGGTGCGCAGGAACAGCGACGGGTCAGCAGTCGAATGAGCAAACCCAAGAGCCGCAAGTGTCGTCCTCATTCTGTCATGCCACTCACGAGGCGCCTGGCGGAGACCGTAGACTGGCCGCCGGAGGCTCCACTAGTTACCTGCAGGAAACGACCTAGTGAAGCCAGGTGGGCGGCGCAGCCAGATCTTCTCATGCAGAGTGCTTTGTAAGAAAGCTGTGCTGAAGTCAAGAGAGTGAAGCTCGTAGTCACGCTGAGCAGCGACGTGGAGCAACACCCAAAGAGTGGTCATCTTTGGGGTAGGGGAGAAGGTCTGGAAGAAGTCAACTCCCTGTCGCTGACTAAAGCCTCTAGCAACGTAACGAGCCTTGAAGGCAGTCGGAGAACCTGGCGGCCGCTTCACCTTGAAAATCCACATGCCATCGACTATGTTCGCCCAAAGAGGGGGAACTGCGTCAACGTAAGTGCCTGTGGATTTCCAGGATGCCATCTCTGCGTCCATGGCTGTCTGCCACTGAGAGGAGTAGGGACCCTCAATCGCCTCTGCGTAAGAGCGCGGGGTCGGGATGTCTAGTGCATCCGGGTCTCCAGGTGCAATCAGCATGGACACGAGATGAGGTACATCAGCTGCAAGACACTCAAAGTCCTCTTGCCTGTCCTCAAGGACGTGCCAAGAGCACACTCACCCCCGACAGATAGAGGACAGTCAGACTCAGACTCAGCAATAAGACTAGCAGTGTAGTCGAGACGATAGCGAGCAGCAAAGTCAACAAGCTCAGCTACTAGGGCAGACACAGCAGTGGACTCAAAGGAAGGGTCAGCGACAACAGTGGCTAGGAGACGTGTGACAGTAGGGCTGGCAGCACGAACAAAGTCAGACTCAGGGTCCGGATCGTCAGCAAGAGAGGACGCATGAGGAGATGGCAGAGGGACACGCAGTGGAACAGAGGTAGGACGAAGTGCCATAGTGTGCGTGCCGGGGACAAGAGGAGGACGCTCACGAGGAACACGACGACCAGTGCGAATAGCGCGAACAGGCGAGGCAGGACGAGAGGCAGGCTCACGACGCACTGTAAACGAGTCTCTCTGCTCAGGGTAAGGAGAAGGAGCTGGCAGTGGGGAGCCTGGCTGTAACGGGAGGCCAGTAGAAGACAGGAGGCTAAGAACCTGGCGAAGCACCAAGTCAGCCAGTGCCAGGGATGGCGGGGACAGCGGAGCGAAGAATACTCGCTGCTGTCTAGTACCACCTGCACCAGGACCACCAGCTCCAGCACCTCCAGTACGAGTGTCAGCAGCCCCAGCGCCTCCCGTAGCTCCAAAACCTCCAGCACCAGCGCCTCTAGCTCCAGCGCCTCTAGCCCCAACGCCTCCAGCTTTGGAGCCCACAGCACCAGCAGCTCCAGTACCTCCAGCACCAGCAGCACCACCAACTTCAACAGCTCCAGTACCTCCAGTGTGAGCACCTCCGGGACAAGCAGCTCCAGCACCAGCAGCACCACCAGCTCCAGCAGCTCAAGTACCTCCTGTACTAGCACCTCTAGGACCAGCAGCTCCAGCTCCAAGGCCGCCGGTCCCAGCGCCTCCATCTCCAGGGTCTCTAGGACTAGTAGCTCCAGCACCCCGGGTACGAGCACCTCCGGGACTGGCAGTGCCAGCACCACCAGCACCTCCAGCACCAGCACCACCACCAGCCCCGGCAGCTCCAGTACCTCCAGCACGAGCACCTCCAGGACCAGCAGTGCCAGCTCCTCCGGTACCTCCAGCTCCAGCGACTCCAGCCGCAGTGCCTCCAGCTCCAGCAGCGCCGCTCCGAAGGCGGCAGCGCTGAGCGTACCACTCGCGTAGCTGCTGCGGCGAGAGAGTACCTCCAGAACCTCCAGTACGAGCACCTCCAGGACTAGTAGTGGCGGCACCACTAGCACCAACAGCACCACCAGCTCCGGCAGCTCCAGTACCTCCAGTACGAGTAGCTCCAAGGCCTCCCTCTCCAGCAGCGACACTCCGAAGGCAGAGCTGCTGAGCGTAGCACTCGCGCGGCTGCTGCGGTGAGAGAGGCTCCCGTAGTGGAGAAGCAGTAGCCCTAGGCGCAGCATCCCCAGACTCAGCAACACCAGGCTCCGCACCCGCAAGCTCAGCTCCCCCAGGCTCCGGATGCTCAGGCTCAGCACCCCCAGGCTCCACACGCTCAGGCTCAGCACCCCCAGGCTCCGCACGCTCAGGCTCAGCACCCCCAGGCTCTGCACGCTCACGCTCAGCACCCCCAAGCTCCGCACCCACAGGCTCAGCACCCCCAGTAGCACCTGAGTCACCAGTGACCTTGACAGGCTCAACCAAGGGGAGTGGGTCTACCTGAGACACACCTGAGGGAGCAGGACCCTGAAGGGGGAGGGGGTCTACCGGAGGAGGACCTGGAGCGAGGAAGAGCGGCGGGCAGCGGAGAGGGGCGGTGCGGTAGGGGAAGAGACGGTAAAAGGGGACCGATTCATCAATCGTGACGTCCTAAGAGGGGAAAACACGGCGCGTGGTGGGGTGGTAAAACTGCCAGCCAGGTGCGTCAGGGGGAAAGCCAAGGAAGACGCAGGGAACAGCACGGGGGGAGAGCTTGTCCACGGAAGCATCGCGGACAAAGGCACGACATCCCCGGACCCGGAACACCGATGCATCGCCAACCTGGGCGAGGTCTCCGGGAAGGAGACACGGGGCCAGAGGTTGAGCTGATTCGCAGCGTACTGGACTGCAAACGGCCACAGAAAATGGGGGCCAGCCACATGGATCATAGAGGTACGAGCAACCTCCATGACTAAGCCAATGCGGCGTTCAGCAACCCCATTCTGCTGCGGAGAGGCCGGAAGCGTGAACGTCTGGCGGATGCCCTCCCCACGACAAAAGTCCCGCAAGAGGTCGGAGTAGAACTCACCACCTCTGTCAGAGTGCAGATGCAGGACAGGAAAGTCCGAGTGAAACCGCTCGCGAAGCTGGAGACGAACATCGGGATCCAAGGGATCAAGACATCAGGGACCTCCCCCTTGCTGCGCAAGGGGAAGACCGTGATGTAACGCAAGCAGTCCTCAACAACCAGCAGAAAGTATCGCTCGTGGTCCTGTCCACGGACGCGGGCTGAGCCCCAGACGTCCATGTGAAGAGTCTGCAAGGGAGCCTCTGTCGGGGGAAACGACAAGGAGTGAGGAGCAGCACGCTGCCGCCCCTCGACGCAAGGAAGACAGAGCATGGCAGACAAGCGTGGGAGGGCAGGCAGAGACCTGGGAAGACCAGAGACAAGGTAGCGGGAGTGCATGCCACGGAGGCGTGGTAAGGAGGGGTGACCAAGGTGGTGGTGCCAAAGGAGAGTCTGGTGGGACAGGGCGCGACACAAGCAGGGGGCCGCAAGCTGACCTGACGCGGATGCAGATGCAGGTATATGGGGAGGCTCAGTAGTCAGTGTGTACAGACTCGACCCAGGCCGACGGGTGAACGTGGCCAGGTGACGGCCCGTCCGTGCACACATGCAGATCGACAGACGCTGACACCCAGGAGTAAAGGTATCAACCATCGCATCCTGGAGGGCAGCGATACTCACCAATTTCGTAGAGAACGAGGAGGTGAAGACCTGAAAGTGAGCCGGACGGAACCGCCCGACACGGGAGAACAGTGGTAGAACGGGCAAGAACTGGGCCCCCTGAGGGGTCAGCCAGTCTGACAGCAACATGTGCAGGGAGTGGTGTGACTGTGGTACTGTCACGAAAGAAACAGGGGGAAGCACCTGCGTCAAGCGTGAAAGTGTGCAAGGCCTCAACAGGCGCAGTACTAGAGAGAGCGGACTTACTAGCACCTAGAGCAGCAGCCTCTATACCTGGGTCGGGCGGTACACACAAGTAACAGTTACCCTCAGCACTAACAGACAATGCATACATGGCAGTAAGGATGGCATCATAGTCTAGCGCAAAGACATCGATGCCCTGCCTAAGTA